GCTTTGTCAAAGGTCAGTTGATTATATTTATGTGAGTCTATTTTATAAGTTTTTATTCTGATCACTGATTGATCTATCTATACTTTTGCCAATACCACACTTTCTGGATTACTGTAGTTTCATAGTAAGTCTTGAAGTTAGGTAGTGTCAGTTCTCTGACTTTGTTCTTCAATATTGTGTTGGCTATTCCGGGTCTCCTGTCTCCCCATATAAACTTTATAATCAGTTTGCTGATATCCACCAAATAACTTGTGGGGATTTTGATTGGGAATGGACCGAACCTACACATTAAGTAGGGATAAACCTACAGATCAAGATGGGAAGAAGTGACATCTTGACAACACTGAGTATATCTTGTAGACATAATGAGCTATGTGATGCTGGGCAAATTTCCTAACTCCGAACTTTCATTTCTACTAAGTGATATGAGGATATGTCCATCTACCATTACAGAATGATTCTAAAGAATAAAACAATTTGAATGTTGTTATAAGCCTAACATGAAAAAATGTCCAATAAATACTTGTTCCCTTCCATTTTCTTTAAACAACCTACTAAAACATGAGAAAATCCAGATTATGTTTTGTTGGCAGGGAAAATTACCTAGAAGTCAATTTATTACTCAAATTAGATAATTTTTAAAAATTAGGGAATTATTTTGCAAATAATAAAGGTCCAAAGATGGCTATGTTTCACCCTTCCTGACATCTGATGGTGTCTAGATATAGCAGTAGCAATCCACCGACAAGTAGGTATTTTTTATGGTACTGATGTGTAGTAAAGGCTGAGATTCTTTAATCATAGACAAATGAGTTAAAAGTACCTGTGAATAGGCCAGGCACAATGGCTCATTCCTATAATCCCAGCACTTTGGGAGGCTAAGGAGGCGGATCACCTGAGGTCAGGAGTTCGAGTCCAGCCTGGCCAACATGGCAAAGCCCCGTTTCTACTAAAAATACAAAAATTAGCCAGGTGTGGTAGCACGTGCCTGTAATCCCAGCTACTTGGGAGGCTAAGGTGGGAGAATCACTTGAACCAGGGAGGTGGAGGTTGCAGTGAGCTGAGATTGCACCATTGCACTCCAGCCTGGGCAAGAGTGACACTCCATCTCAAAAAACAAAACAAAACAAACCTGGAAATAAATAATTGATCAGGCCAGGTGTGGGGGCTCATACCTATAATCCCAATACTTTGGGAGGTTGAGGTGGGTGAATCACTTGAGCTTAGGAATACCAGGAGAGCCTGAGCAACATGCCGAAACTCCATCTCTACCAAAAATACAAAAAATTAACTGGGCATGGGTGGTGTGCCCCTGTAGTCCCAGTTACTAGGAAAGCTGGCTTGAGCCCAGCAGGTTGAGAATGCAGTGAGCTGAGATCACACCACTGCACACTCCAGCCTGGGTGACAGGGTGAGACCCTGTCTCAAAACAAACAAGCAAACAAACAAAAATAATTGATCAGCTTGTTCACTTTTCTCCTATCAAGGGTCTGTTCCAAGTATCTGTATACAAGGGGTATGACACAGCCCATTTAGTCAGGAAATTATGACTGATTGCTCCTATGGCCAAATTCAATCATACTTTATAGTAAACTTGCTATAAATGGCACAATAGAAGTCTTCTTCAAAATGCTACTTTATAACAGGCAAAGTATTTACTAATTGAAATTTTGAATTAATATGCTTTGTATTCAAGGTTATAAATTAGCCACAAAATATGCAGGTAACTCATGTTGAAATCTAAAAAAGAAAAGGACATTCATGAACTGAGTAATAGCATGCTGACCCTCAGAATCTAGACAGTCCTCATGTGAAATCACCTCACAGCACCTAAAAGAATTAGAAAAGTATATTAAAAGTTACTACACAGGGCCAGTCACAGTGGCTCACTTCTGTAATCCCAGCACATTGGGAGCTGGTTCTGGGCAGATTAACTGAGTTCGGCAGTTCATGACCAGCCTGGCCAACAAGGTAAAACCACATCTCTACTGTAAACAAATACAAAAATTAGCCAGCCGCGGTGGCATGCGCCTATAGCCCCAGCTACTTGGGAGGCTAAGGCAGGAGGATCACTTGAATCCAGGAGGTGGAGGTTGCAGTGAGCCAAGACTGCACCACTGCACTGCAGCCTGGGCAATCAAGTGAGACTCCATCTCAAAGAAAAAAAAAAGTTACTATATGGGCCAGGTGCAGTGATTCACACCTATAATCCCAGCACTTTGGGAGGCCAAGGTGGGTGAATCACTTGAGGTCAGGAGTTCAAGACCAGCCTGGCCAACCTGGCAAAACCCCGTCTCTACTAAAAGTATAAAAATTAGCTAGGCATGGTGGCACACGCCTTTAATCCCAGCTACTATTGGGGCTGAGGCAAGATAACCACTTGAACCCGAGACACACGGGTTGCAATGAGCCGAGATGGTGCCATTGTACTCTAGCCTGGGCAACAAGAGCAAAATTCCATCTAAAAAAATTTTTTTTCAGATAAATAAATGCTTACCATGTTTAAACATGAATTTTAAAAATACTGTTTATATACAAAATCTGTATTTAATTATTTAAGACTGGGCTTAGTTTTTTTTAAATCTTGAATTAAAAATTTCAAGAGGCATTCCAATAGATTAGAGAATTTATTTCTATTTATTATTAATGAATACTTGCATATTTACTTATATCTGTGCCTATGTATACACTCATCTGATTTATAGCTGCATTTTTTAGAGGATGCAATCTTTTAGTAGTCCAAACAAAACACATGAACTACTATCAGACATGCTAAAGGACATACATTTACTACTATCATTCCCATGAATTGGCCTGGCACGGTGGCTCATGCCTGTAATCCCAGTACTTTGGGAGGCTGAGGCAGGTGGATCACCTGAGTTCAGGAGTTAGACACCAGCCATGGTCAACATGGTAAAACCCCGTCTCTACTTAAAAAAAAAAAAAAAAAAATAGCCGGATGTGGTGGTAGGTGCCTGTAATCCCAGCTACTTGGGAGGCTGAAGCAGGAAAATCACTTAAGCCCAGGGGGCGGAGGTTGCAGTGAGCCAAGATTACACCATTGTACTCTAGCCTGGGCAACAAGAGCAAAGCTCCATCTCAAAAAAAACAAAAATTCCCACGAATTTTGCATCCCAAACCCTATATTTAATAGAAGACATGGACAAGTAATATAGTAATTTATTTTTCTGGTTAATAGTAGCAACTTGGCCAGGCACAGTGGTTCTGCCTGTAATCCCAGCACTTCAAGAGACTGAGATGGGAGGATTGCTTGAAGCCAGGCATCTGACATTAGCATGGGCAATACAGTGATACCCTGTCTCTACCAAACAAAAAATAAATAAATAAAAATTAGCCAGGCATGGTAGCATGCACCTATAGTCCTAGCCTACAGGACTATAGGAGGATGAGATGGGAGGACTGCTTTTGAGCCCAGGAGTTTGAAACTGCAGTAAGCTATGATCTCACCACTGCACTCCAGCCTAAGCAACAGAGTAAGACTCCATTCCTTAAAAATAAAAAAAAAGAAGGCCAGGCGCGGTGGCTCACGCCTGTAATCCCAGCACTGTGGGAGGCCGAGGCGGGTGGATCACGAGGTCAAGAGATCGAGACCATCCTGGTCAACATGGTGAAACCCCATCTCTACTAAAAATACAAAAAATTAGCTGGGCATGGTGGCGCGTGCCTGTAATCCCAGCGACTCAGGAGGCTGGGGCAGGAGAATTGCCTGAACCTGGGAGGCGGAGGTTGCAGTGAGCCGAGATCGTGCCATTGCACTCCAGCCTGGGTAACAAGAGCGAAACTCCGTCTCGAAAAAAAAATAAATAAAAAAAAAAAAAAAAAAAAAAAAAAAAAAAAAAAAAAAAAAAAAAAAAAAAAAAAAAAAAAAAAAAAAAAAAAAAAAAAAAAGAGAGAGAGACGTATCAAAAGACTTATTATATAGGACCATGTCATGCTTCATTCACTCACCTAAAAATTATTTATTCTGTCAGGCAATGTGCTAGTTAGATGACCTTGACAAAGCCTATTAAACTTCCTAAGTCTCAGGTTTTTCCTTGTTAAATAAGAATTACAACACTCTTCCAGAACTGACAAAAATGCATATAAAGCACTTAGCACAGTGCCTGATCACAGTCAATTCTCAAATGCTAGCTATAGCTATAGTCGTTAATGACAGGAAAATTAGAACTAAAAGTTTCTGAAAGACAGAACTTGATAGATGCTGGTATTTCAAGAGCAAAGTAATTAAGAGAAGTAGGTGATATCAGGTTTCTTATTTAAACATTACTGTACTGTTCACTAAAAATAAGAAACCAAGAAAGGCACAAGACAGGCAGGAGAAAGCATTTTGAAGTCTGAGATGCCTAAAAGGGAACAGAATGGAGGAATAACGATTTAGAATAGCCATTGTGGAGAACAGAAGAGGTTACTGAGCTAAAACATGTAAAAGGACTTTTAATCAGTTGCAGAGTCATCTCAGCTGAGATTTTAAATTCCTAGCTACATGTTTGTGTGATTTTTCTCCAACAGCGCTCAGCTGCCACAGACCATCAGCTGTCTGAAGTTTAGGTGGTTACAGTGTTTCTTTACTATGTGCACCAAAGAAAAGGAGTGTTAAAGTACAGAATGAAATTTATAAGTAAATGAAAGTAGGGGCTGGGCGTGGTGGCTCACGCCTGTAATCCCAGCACTTTGGGAGGCTGAGGCAGGTGGATCACCTGAGGTCAGGAGTTTGAGACCAGCCTGACCAACATGGTGAAACCCTGTCAGTATTAAAAACAAAATTAGCCAGGCATGGTTTGCATGTCTGTAATCCCAGCTACTTGAGAGGCTGAGGCAGGAGAACTGCTTGAACCTGGGAGGCGGAGACTGCAGTGAGCCGAGACTGCACTACTGGGTGAAAAAAGCGAAACTCTGTCTCATAAAAAAAAGAAAAAAGTCATTTCAACAGAGTATCATTAGGCAATCTGCTAAATAATTTAAAAATAAAAATCACTTACCCATTTTGAAAAGAACAGCTTTGTGTTTCTGAATCATCACTATCACTGATGATAATAGTTTCTCCATCCATACTGTTAACATGTCCATTAGCAAAACCATTTTGATGTGATGGAGGGAGGACTTCCAAAATCCTACACTGCAACCTGAAATAAAATGATACATTTAAAAATGCAAATCATTTGATATTTTATAGCCAAACATTTCAGAGCAGCCAAATTGCTTTGAACTACAGTTATTTTGTTTGTAGAGGTTATAGCTTATTGATGTTAACAATTTAATTAAAAAAGAAAATCTGTAACATCTAATTTAAGCAAATATTAGATATGATTTAAAGCTTAAAACTATTTAAAAACACAATTTATCAAGATTATTCACAATTATATTATTTCCTTCCTTCTGCTAGCTCTGGATTGTTTGTTTTGCTAGTTCCTTAGATTGTCAAGCTAGGTTGCTGACATGAGATCTTTCTTGTTTTGTAATGTAAGGATTTATAGCTATAAACTCCCCCCTTAGCACTGCTTTTGCCATATCCCATAAATTTTGGTATGTTATATTTTTGTTTTCATTCATCTATAAGTTATTTTCTAATTTTCCTTAGGTTTTCTTCTTTGCTCCACTGGTTAAGAGTGTATTTTAAATTCCCACAATTTGTGAATTTTCCAGTTTTCCTTTGTTAATGATTGCTAAGTTCATGTTGCTGTGGTCAGAGAAGATACTTGTATGAGATTGTGATGGTTAATTTTAGGTGTCAACTTGACTGGATTAAGGTAAAGGCAGAAGTATTTAGTCGCTAGAAGTACTGTTTAGTCATTAGAAATATACAGTCATTAAAGTATTGTTGTTGAGTATTTCTATGAGGGTGTTTCCAGAGGACAGTGGTGTGTGAGTCAGTGGATTGAGTTGGGGAATATTCTCCCTCAATGTGAGCAGGCACCAAACAATTAACTGGGGGCGCAGACAAAACAAAAAAGCAGAGAAAAGACAGATTCATTCTGATTCCTGGAGCTGGGACACCTCTCTTCTCCTGCCTTTGGACATCAGCAATTCTAGGTTCTCCAGCCTTGATTCTGGGACTTGCACCAGTGTCCCCTTCTCAATACTCTCTCCTCATCCCTTCTTGTATCTATCTCTCTCTCTCGATATATATCTCCCATTGGTTCTCTCTCTGGAAAATTCTGTCTAATACAGTTACCTACCTTCTAAAATCCAATGAGACTAAACTTGTGACCTAGCATAAAGTTTATCCCGGAGAATATCCCATGTGCACTTGAGAAGAACGTGTGTTGTTCTTGGGTTGAACGTTCTCTTTATATCTGTTACGTCTAGTTGATTTATTGTGTTGTTCAGATTCTCTCTTTCTTAACTTCTGCCTGATTGTTCCATCCATTATGGAAAGTGGAGTATTGAAGTCTGCAGATATTATTGTAAAATTGTCTATTTCTCTTAGCAATTATATTCCTAACTAAAGTTAACTGTTTAGAAAGTCAAATATGGCACAATATCTTATTATACAATTTTTAAGACTTAATACTTTTTTAAAGCATCCAATATTTTAAATTCTAAAATTCTTCAGACTATAACATTTTTATTTTCACATTTTTTGTTGTGATTTCTGATCTCTGGAAAGCTTCCTATTCACTAACTCTATCACCCCTATTCTGGCTTCCTTTACTGTGCATACCATATCTGGATTTTATGGGCCACAAATTTAGACTCATTCAACCACAATTAAAATATTCCTTCATCCCATTTTTATTGTGTCAATTTTCAATGCTAGAAAAGACAGCACCTGCTTTCTTTCCATACTCCCTCTTGTTCCAAATTCTTTACTTCCTGCCTTGAAACCATGAATTTACTATGAATTCAAAGTTAGCATCTTACTGTTATGGTTGAGATAACTTTTGTTTGTTCTCAAAACAGATTTCCTCAAGTCCCAGTCTCAGTACTTTAATATTAGAAAATGAGAAAAGAGATCTTGACTTAGACTCTTTGACTTCCTTCTCAACATCAAAAGTCCATATCCTTCAAACTCTTCATATTCTTATGTCAGAAGAGTTCTCTTCCAGCCCGTAACTTCTTCTCTTATCCAGTTTCACTGTGTTTCTCTACTGTGTATCCTCAGTTTTCCTCTGCTAAGAAACATACTCTTCAATATCCTAGAAAGTTTATATCCATCTCTAGCTTTTTAGAGACTCCACAGTATGGACTCTTCTTCTTCTCACTCCCTAGAGAGACCTGGCATTGCTGAAGCCAAATTAGATTCCAAGAACAAAAAGAATCCAATTTTTATAAATATCCTCTTATATCGGAGCATAGTGACTGCCAAAGAGGAAGAGGAAAGCAAAGCAAAGATAATCTGCATCTGAACCTGCTCTGTAGACATTTTGCATCTTTTAAAGACCATTCCCATGCCTGTAATTCCAGTGCTTTGGAAGGGTGAGAAAGGTGGATCCATTGCTTGAGGCCAGGAGTTTAAGACTAGCTTGACCTACATGGCGAAACACTGTCTCTATTAAAAATACAAAAATTTGAGGCTGGGTGCGGTGGCTCACTCCTGTAATCCCAGCACTTTGGGAGGCTGTGGTGGGCGGTTTACAAGCTCCGGAGTTCAAGACCAGCCTGATCAACATGGTGAAACCCCATCCCTACTAAAAATACAAAAATTAGCCAGGCGTGGTGGTACATGCCTGTAATCTCAGCTAGTCAGGAGGCTGAGGCAGGAGAATTGCTTGAACCTGGAAGGCAGAGGTTGTAGTGAGCTGAGATTATGCCACTGCACTGCCTGGGCATCAAAGCGAGGCTTCATCTCAAAAACAACAACAACAACAAAAATTAGCTGGGCATGGTGGCACGTACCTGTAATCCCAGCTACCTGGGAGGCTGAGGCACAAGAATTGCTTGAACCTGGAAGGTGGAAACTGCATTAAGCCAAGATCGTGCCACTGTACTCCAACCTGGGTGACACAGTAAGCCTCTGTCTCAAAACAAACAAACAAACAAGGCCAGGTGTGGTGGTGCTGCACACCTGTAATCCCAGCTATTTAGATCCTGCAACACCATGCACCCCAGCTTGGGCAACAGAGCGAGACTGTCAAGAAAGACCATTTCAGTGGCTAAAAAATAAATTGATAGCCACTTCCTATCAATTTATAATCTGCTCTTTAATGTTGTACCCTCTTTTCCCAGGACTTATTCACACATCAATGAAGTCTCCTCTCCTCCCATTTACTGTCAGCTGGTTCAAAAGTATGATTTACATTGTCTCTCCACTTCCTTACCACTCTCACAATTTTAGTCATCATATACAAAGACTTGACCCAAGAAAGTCACAATAATCTAACTATTGGTCAACAAATCCAAAGTCTTGTCTTAGTTGTCTTAATCGCCTGTAAACCATTATCCACCCCTTACTAAGCCATTGCACTCCAGCCTGGGTAACGAGCGAAACTCCGTCCCCCCAAAAAAAAAAAAAAAAAAAAATTCCACCTCTATTTTTATGGTCCAAAATCATCCCTATTCATCATCTAACCTACCTCCCTGACTATACTTTTACTCTGTCTTTGCCTGCTTCTTGTTCTTCTCATATTACCAAAACATATAGTGATTCCCCCAAAGTTCTACTGCATGTCTCTTGGTTGGTATATACTTTCCCTTGGTGTTTCATGTCAGCTCTAGATAACTGACTGACTGACTCTCAACTTCTAGAAGTATGGTCCAAAAAATCCAATTCTTCTCTATGTAGAGGGAGTTTATGTAACCAGTGAGGTTTCATCTCTATTAAGAGAGTCATAGTAACAGTGTTGGTGAGGATGTGAAGCCACTTTGAAAAACTGTGACAACTCCTCAAAGATTTACCATATGACCCTGCAATTCCACTTTTAGCTATATAACCCAGAGACATAAAATATATATCCACACATACTTGTACATAAATGTTCAAAACAGTATTACTTGTAATAGCCAAAAACTAAAAAAATCCAAATATCCATCAACTGATAATTTAAAATGTGGTATATACCATGCAACATTATACAGCAAAGAAACAGGAATCAAGTACTGATACATGCTATAATATTTATGAATCTTGAAAATATTATGCTAACAAAAGGGGCCAGACACAAAAGACTGCATACCATAAATTCCATTTATATGAAATATCCAGAATAGGCAAATCCCTAGAGAGAAGATAAGGGACAGGGGGACCATAGGCAGTGACTGCTAATGGGCAAAGCTTTCTTTCTGAGGTGTTGAAAATGTTTTAAAATTGGAATTGTACAATTTAAATGGGTTAATTTTATGATATGTGAAATATACCTCAATAAAGTCATTAAAAAAAAGAGTTGCAAGATATAGTAGGGAGTACACATAAAGGAGAGAGAGCATTGCTGAAATTATATTTATGGTATCTCTACAACTCTTTTTTTTTTTTTTTTTTTTTTTTTTTTTTTGATAGAGTCTCACTCTATCCCCCAGGCTGGAGTGCAGTGCAAGATCTTGGGTAACTGCAACCTCTATCTCTTGGGTTCACCTGATTCTCCCACCTCAGTATCCCAAGTAGATGGGACTACAGGCACACACCGCCACACTCAGCTAATATTTTGTATTTTTAGTAGAGATGGGGTTTCGCCATGTTGGCCAGGCTGGAGCCTCTACAACTCTTAAGCAATTCTGGGGAAGGTTTTATTAACTACGAATATTCTAAGTACATAAATATCTACTGTTGGGCTAAATCTCTATTTTCTGAGAAAAAGTGATTCAAGATTAGATACGTGGCTGACTGTATCATTCATTTGGTTATCCCATACATCAACAAGTTTTGGTATACTGTGAATATCATGTCTCATTTACCAGCCCTATTCTCCTAGGAACTTTGTTCTTCTCATATTCTACCCTCTTTCACATGATTATTAGTAGAGCTGCCCTGTTTCCCAAAACAGTGGTCAGAGTTAGCTGATGCAGGGTGGGCACTACTTTGCTAAGCTCACATATCTTTCCCAAGATTTTTAAACTTGGAATCTAGAAGGTAAAAATCAGTCCTTCTCTCCCACTGTGGAATCTGTAAGATAAAATTCTGGTGCTGTCGGCAGCCATATATCCTGCTACGTGGAGGAGGACAGTGTGCAGTGAAAGGTGGTAAAATTTG